AAATGGATATCTATTAAAAGTAGTTAAAGTTGCAACTGAATAATTTAAACGTACCAATTATTAGTGGAAGGTGCAGGTACTAGATACTAATGAACTACAATTTCTTTATGATACTTAGAATAGCAAATAAATTGATAAACCACCTGATGGAAAGTGGTAACCATCACTTATAGTCATAAATAGCACCATAGACGTTACAGAACAGAATACAGGATTTCAATATTACCCTAACACATTATAAATGTTCGAACTCTTTTAATATCATAAGGTTTCTTGTAAGTGAATCCAGACTGGATTCAAACTACAATAACAATTTATGAAAAAGTTATAAAACTTACATACTGACGTAATAACATTTGTTACATACGGACATCTACTGAATAACCATTCAGTATTAATAGCATCAGTTCTATTCATTTTAAAGACTGGACGGCGCTGTGTAAGAAATTAGTCGAAGAGTTATAAAAAAAATGTTATGTACGTATGTAACAAATGTTATTACGTAATTAATATGTAAATTTTATAACTTTTTTATAAATTATTGTGGTTTGAATCCAGTTCACTCCATTCACTTACAAGAAACCTTATGATATTAAAAGAGTTCGAAATTCAAAATTCCTTATACTCAATTTCTTTTTTTTTTAATATGGATTAGTTTTTCGTCTAAGGAATGAATGCTAAATTTGAGTAAGTTGGGAACGACCGCAATGTTCGAGTAAACAGTATGTTTTGGTTGTATTAATTTATTTCTAATTTGCTTGGTTTGGAACTTGAAAAATACATCTATAATACTGTGTCATGGTACTTGTTGTATAGTTAGTTTTAATTACTTTTAAAAGCATAATAAAGTAGTTTGAATTTGATTGTATTTTTATGAAATTCTCTGAATATTTTTTAAGTAAGTTCCATAAAAGTAGGTCTTAGCTCAGCAATTCGACTTTATGTTCTTTTTGTGTGTATAAATATTATCGTTATTATTGAAATCACTGTATTTTCCGCAGCTAATATTTAATTATGAAATGTCAATTGCAAAATGCATTTACGTACGTACCTCTATAGAATAGAAAAAAAAAAACTACGAACAAAGTTAACCTCTATTAAAAATATCTACATTTTTCTATTTCTATCGTGTAAACTGCCAGTAACAGCTCCCATTAGATGAAAAGCAACATAATTGTTTACACAATCCGAACAAGATAATAACAAAGTGAGAGGATTAGCAACAGACATTGCCAACATTCAGTGTAAGGACTGGTAATGTTTGGACATCGCTCGGGGTGCTTACCTTCAATTAGGGTAAAGGTGGCCAAAATGGTTCTGTTAGGGAGAATATGTTTATTCTCTACCGTCAGTTGGAAATTATCCGCTTGCGCCTCTCATTTGGTATATTGTTTTGAGAATAAACCCTCGATGTTTAAGGTCCTAGATCGGAGACTTAAAGTGGTACTATAATTACAGTGTTACTATTTCAACAAATTACAATTACCCCTTATTCATAAAACGTTAAACCTATTTAAGCAATCGAATTGTTTTATCTCTAAAATTCTGTGCTAATACAAACATACTTTGTTAAATAAATAAATATCTTATCTTATCTTTCTTTTCTACTAAATTCTCAGTTTGAATGAAAGTAATATAATTAAAATAGGTTTGTGGGATGTTTTAGTTTTTATAAATAAGGGGGTTATTTTTTAAATCCAAAGTAATGTAATTAAAGATACTTATAAATTTTTGTTTCATTTTTATGCAACGACAATTTTTTTTTAAAAGTATGTTTTTTTGTGCTCAATTAAATTGTTACGTGATTAATTTGATAATTCTAAAATAACTTATATATTTTTACTCGCATTCGGATCAGATTTACTCCAATGTTTTTTTCTGCGAATTAAAATCTGCAAACCCTTTGAATCTTAAAAAGCATTATAGACATTCGATTTCTAAGTAAAGATAATTAGTTTTATTATTTTGTTTGTATGTATCAAAATTATTTTGAAATAATAGAGTAATTGAAACTTGCCAATAGTCAACGTGAGTTTCGTTATGGGATCAATACAAATGAAATAGATTGCAATTGACAGTGTGTATGGGCTAACACAACAAATAAATATCCCGTGTAACGTTAGAATGAAAGATTGTCTTGGAAAGGAAAATTTATTCAAAGATAAATTCCACGAACAATGTAACAAAGTTAATAATGGTAAATAAAATGTTGTAGTAGAATAGGAATCATGTGAAAATGAAGCTAAATTTGTCAGAACCACGGTTTATTTTTCCTCGAAACGATAGAGATTCTAAATTCTAATATTTTTTATGAGCGTGTGTTATGAGATATCTTCGTTAATTCTGAGCATAATTTTTTCACTTGAAAAAAATTACTCTCGTGGTTATTTTATACTAATTATGTCATCATTGAAGTTTACTTGTTGAACATATAGAGTTAGGAGTGGGTAAAAGTTTTAATTTTATCAAAAACCTGCGATTTTGCTTTTTAACGAAGCCTATATACAGTTTATTTAGAATTTAATGTATATAAATATAGTATTAAAACTTTTACACTAAAATTTTTAAAAATATATAAATAATATTCTAACAATAATTGTGTGATTGAAAATCTTTGAAGAGCACTCACATCGGTATGTGGTAGAAACTGCGCATATTTGAACTTCGTCTTCTTCGAAATTTTCTCAATCACTTAATGTTGATTGGAATATAAGTTTCAAACAACTTAAAAGAGAAGGAGGTACTTAATTCAGTTTTACGTTTTTTTTTAATGTTTATTGCCTCATAACTGTATCAGTCATAAACTAATTTGGATTTTTTTTTATCTGAAGGATATACGAGTACTTATGGTACAGCTTGGTCCCACAGAAATTTTATCGAAATCCTTCAGTAGTTTAGTTTTTAAATTAAACTAATTCGTTTTGCCATAACTGAAGTCGGTTTTTTTTTGTAAAACACAATTACTGTCGTACTTTAATAATATTTTAATTTATCAATTTACAATTAATAACATTTCAATGTGTCAAGTTATAAATATTTACTTATTGCTTTTCTCCCGAAATATTTTTATTGTAACTGGTTAATTCAGCATGAAACTAAAATATTGTCTGATTAATTAATTTGCATACCAAGCTAATGATCTAGAATCCGGTCATTATACGGGCCCCTCTTTTTATAAAACGTTATCTTTTATTTCCTTTTTTAATGCCTTGCTGTTTGGTAACAAGACGCGATTTATTTAAGTGGGGAGACAATACATTGCTCGCTGGGTATAATAAGATCCCTCGATGATTTTTGAAAGGGTGGTATTCATAGAAAAATAAAATATCATCGCATTAGCGGGGGAGTAACTGCTGTACTTAAATGATGAAAAATGAAGGACTGAATTTACTTTTTTTTATGCAATTTATAATGGCAAACAAGCTGACGGCCCATCTGATGGAAAGTGGTTACCGTCACTTATAGATATGAGAAGTACCATGGACATAACGGAGTATACTGTTTCGCCCATGATATCCCCCATGCGTTTCCACTCCTGAGGACTCAGGTGTTATTCCTCTGTACCCTGTAAATCCACTGCCATATCCCATCCTTCAAACCGAAACACAAACATGCAAAGTTATGTAAATATAAGTGTAAAAATGTAAACATACAAATGCTTTCATTATTATTATTCTTAATAAATCTATCTTTATAATTTTGTTTTTTTACTTAGGTAGTTTTTGCGACCCCCGCCCCCAATGAGGCATTGCGACCCTCCTGGGGGTCACGACCCACACATTGAAAAACACTACTTTGGAGCATGAACCAGCTTCATTCTGTAGAAACTGAGTTTACATCATGTACTCAATGTAGACTTGTCAAAGGATTTATTAAGCCAATAGATGGGCACAGCACTTTCAAATTAATGTTACATTATGATTTGTGTGTCTCCTACGCAAGCTTTGAGTCCATAAGGGCAAACAAATATATGTATATACGCATCGCCTGATTGGTTATTCGTAACTTAAAAATACATTTCTTCATTGTCGTTCATTGTAAAATCATCCTGGATTGTGAAACGAAATTCTGAATCAAGCTAAATCGATGTGGGCGAATGAATTGTTTTATGACCAGACCGTGTGTAGCAAGAAAGATAACATGAAGTAATACGAGTTGCACGGAAAAAATAAAATAGAAAATGCTTATGCACTGTTTATTATCGATGTTTTTAAATTAGTTAATCACATAATATTGTATTTAACATCAACCATACAATTACAGAATTGTCACGTTAGTGAAATTATTTGTTACATTGAATAAAGTATAAGAGATCTGATATAAATATAAATTCGTAAATATAATATCTATACTAATATTGAAAAGAGAAAAGATTTAATTGTTTGTTAAACTCAAAAACACGCACTGGTTTTAAAAAATTTTTCACTTATGGAAAGCTACATTATTAGCAAATAATATAGACAATGTTTTATTTTCAAAAATTTTATTTAACTGAGTGAAGCCAGTCCAGATCGCTAGTATAGTATAAGTAGTGTAAAAAATTAATTAGATACCTAAATGAACCGTAATTTTTGATTTATGAAATGATTAGAATATTAGGTATTTTATAATATTTACTTGCTTAGATAGTTTATGATAGATCAAAATAAGATAAATTAATTTTATTAGTTATAATTTAAAATGTTTTCACTAATTATTAAAAAAAAAACACATTATGGTTATTGATTATCTTGTCTAGTATCCAATATCTGTCAATTCCATTTCTGTCTAGTGGATAAATAATATTATAAATATTAATAATTTTATAAATATTATTTAACATTTTTTTTTGTAAAAGAAAACATAAATAGGTATATAAATAGTTCGCAATTTGTCTCTGCCTTTAGTGAAATTTTGTCGGCTCTTTTGTACCATAGAGTGACATTCCATCCAATGGCGAATACGGGGAAACCGCTCTAAAAATAATCATGATGTTTACGCTCCAGTGTGTGTACATGTACGTCCCATTTCCGAACATAGTGTCAGAACAAGAGGCACGACCAGAAAACGTCAGTACGTTTTGTTCAGCCGCAGCAACCAAACAAAACGATTAAAAACATTACGTTCGATATTTGAATGAAAAAGGCGCGAAAGTTAGATGTGTCAATGTCAAACTGATTGCGTTATTATTAGAAAAACAAAATGGAATGTAAGCTTGCGGTACTATTTGTAATATTGCTATCAACTGGGGGTAAGTAACTTTTGATTTTTATTTCACTTAATAAAATTTATGAAATTAATTTAATAATGACATAGTAGATGTTTGTATTTTTTAATTTCTAATATAAATGTATTAGTAAAGAAAACACTTTTTTTTCATAATTAAATTACTTATAATAATTATTAAGAGAAATTTAATAAATAATGAAATAGGATTTCCATATTTAGGTATGCCTGCTACTACTATTGTCATTACTACACTTATCTACCTTTGATCTTGTATTTTATTTACAATGATTACGAGTAATATCATGTGTTTATAGTTATTTAGGATACTAAATTGAATAAGTATAATACTTGATACTAATTTATTTCAATTAGTTACTAATATACTTAATTAGGTAATTTAATCGAAAAATGTAAGTAAGGTAAATAATTTTTAAGACGTTATCAACATGAGATAAAATATGTTTGAGATATTTAAGATCTTTTTAGGCTTCTTTGTAACCCCGTTTACCATCAGACGCGCCGTATGCTTGTTTACTGTAATAGTAATACAAAAAAAGGATGATCTCGAAGTACACTTCCCTGTGGTATATTAATACAAATTAAAAAGTCCTTCACAGATTCGATTTAATTCATGACAATAAACTGTTAGTAACTAAAGTGTAAATTACATTCTAACTGTATAGTAGATATTATAATAGGAATATTAAAATCAAATCAACGAAACCTATGCTATTCGTAAAAATTGTGATGGTCATTTAATACTGTTAATATAACATCTTTTAAGATTAGGAAGGAATTGTATACTTGCCTATGCTAATGGTAGAACAATGGCAAGGCTCCAATGGAGTATGAAATGACGAAATTTAAATCAGGTCAGTTAGCGTATTACAGATAGTATACCAGCTTCACCCTTAATTTTGTCAGTGATGGCCACGCTTGGTGGCCGTTGCCTTGGTGATGTTTTAAGAAGGACGTTGATGCCTATTCCTCTAACATTAAATTCCCTTAGTCTCCTCTTATGACACCCATGAGAAAGGAAGGGATGGCCTATTCCATGCAGGGATCACACAGCATCTTGTTGATAATTCACTAGGAATTAACCAAGGTTTCACATGGGCAGATCGCGTGTAGGTAAACATGAGGGGCTATTAGCTATACGAGATATCTAGCAATAGATAAGTACTTAAGTCTCTAAGTCCTTCTTACCATAGAAAGCCGAAGCGAGTTCGTCTTAGTAAGACTCATGACTGCGTCCTATGTACGCAGTCGTGAGTCTTAGTCATATTTTAAGAGGCTGGGTATTCCGTGCCCACAACAGAATTGTCTGATGCCATCTTTCAACTATGGTTAATGAAAAGTCTAAAAATGTATGTCTCTTTTTAAGGGGCCAGGCCCATTGGAATACAGAGGATATATTGGAATATACCTGGAATATAATGGAGATATTTAAAATTATCTTAAATATTTCAATGGTTAAAACAAAAATCAGTTTGTCAACATAAGAAATTGACTGAGAAACTGGTGATAGAGATTTGTGTTACCCACATGTATAAGTTCCATTATTCTGCCTTTACACTTGAAAATATGTTCGTGTTGGTAGCCAGGTCAAAATTTATGACGCAACGTTTATAGGTACTGTAAATTTAGATTCAGCGTGTAACTGCGCCTAGGTTTGTGGCATGAGGTAACATTACTTATACAAATTACGTATATATATGTCAGATGTTCTAGACAGCAGGTAGTTTCTCTAATATAATATTCATAGATAGAGAATGCAACAGTAGGTACTAGTCTTTGTCTATGGTTATATTTATTATAGAGTGAATAAAGAAAAATATAAGAAAGTTATATAGTTAAAAGCCGGCATGCATTGGCGACTCCCCTGGTGTCGTTAGTGTCTATGAGCTGCGGTGATCACTTACCATTAGGTGAACCGCTTGCTCGTTTGCGCCCTCTTAAAGAAAAAAAATCCCAGTAGTCCTACTATGTAAACATAAATATAAGAAATGCGTTAGAAGTACAATATCTATATATGACGTAATATTCTTGTTAACCTACATACTTGATATTTGTTATGAATAAATGTATGACTGAACTCTTAATAATTGTTGCCCTGATGAAAAGATGCACCATACATAAAGTAGACATACATCTATAGTATTATATGACGCAAAGTTAAGAGGCAATAATATTCAGCTTTATTACTAAATAGTCACCACCTTCAACATTAAAATATTTGTTTCTCCATGATTTCGACTGCATAGCCTGAAATATGGTAGGTATCAGATGGACCTTATTCAGGATTAACACAGGATATTTTATGTGCTAATTAATGCGGACAAAGCTGGATTACAGCTAGATCCTCATAACTGTCAGGTGTACCGGCAACTTCTTTGTCCTTTTAAGTAGAATGAAAACAAGCAATATATAGATACCACATAACGTTTATTAAAAAGCATAACAGAACATGAAACGCGTGTATCAAACGACAATTTGATGCGCTCGGTCACCGACTAGTTAAGCTCGTTAAATGAAACAATTCCTAAAATTATACCCGCCATATTGATGTCATGGTGGCGTTAAATAGGCCATTTGTTAAGTAGATATTTGGGATATGTATCATAGATATATTTTGTCTATAAAACATAGAGTTTAAGTACACAAAGTGCTTGAACGCTATAATTTAAAATATTAGGACGTAATAAACAGTGACTTTAATACTTTCAAAAAAGTATTAAATAGCTGTAATTCCTTTTGCCATGGATGGTTTTTTTAATGGACGATAAAGGAATGGTAAAGGCAGGTCAGTTAGCCACTCATGATGAATACACCTGGAATTCTGCCCCGCCAGCGCATACCGATAGCGCAAGCGGGGTTACCGTTCCATTGTGACCCATTAAAATAAAGACCTGCAATTCAGCAAGATGGTTTCCGAGGGAATCACGTAGAGGTCGACCTGATAGGGTATATTGCTAGCAATGGGACTGGTATGGTGGTCATGGATGATGAAGGTATGTGACAAAGATTGTTAATCCCTTAACACTTGATATGCCCATATTTCCTCGAACATATTAGAATCTAACGTAACAGGGAACGAGCATACCGCTGTTACTTGGATTCATATATGACGTGTTATCTCGGATTTACATCATCGGTAAGTTAGAAATTTAAATTGTCACAAATAAAAAAAAAAATTATTGGAACCATAAATTTTTTTTACAAATTACAAAAAAAAAGGGTAGTGTACGATAACAGCCACATTAGTTAAAAATAACTGTGTCGTGGCTGTCAACGCCACCTCAAGGCAGAGGCGCTAGCGTTCCAGTAGAATAAATCTGTTAATTAAATAAAGGCCGGCAGCACACCTGCAATGGGCGGCGGTAGTCACTTACCATCAGGTGAGCCGCATGCTCGTTTGCCCCCTGTGTTGTAAAAAAGACAAAGATACTGTTAGCATATAGCATGTACATGTAGCACATATATATGTGCCCAACATTCATACATAAAATACCTTTAATGTTTCGGATTCGGGCTCATGAACTATACAGTCTGTAAAATTGAAATGGTATATCACTAGGCTGCGACGTGATATCATTATCAAATGAATTTTGTAATAAGTTCCAAGAGGCACTTGTGCAAGTACGAGTAACATCTGCACCAATTCCTTTGATGTTGGGCTTTATTTGTAGAACTTCTATTAAAATGTATATTTATTTGATTTCGTGCCTTCCTTTTGAACGTACCTCACAGTTTAATATCATTTGTAATTATTTATGTTTTAATAACAATTAGAAATAGTTAATTAGGAATATCGATACTGTTACTCATTACGAATTTATAAATTATTATAGAATACTGTTTTTTTTTTATTATTGTTATAAAACGTTCTTTATTTAAATTGGAGACTTGTACAAAAGTCGATTGCTTGGGTACCTCTGTCCCATTCGTGTTTCGACCGTGAAGCAGTTGTATTTGCATGACTGTGTTTCGGTTTGAAGGGTGGGATATGGCGTGAATTTACTGGGTACAGAGGAATAACACCTGAGTCCTCAGGAATGGCAACGCATGGAAGCTATCATGGGCGAAACAGTATACTTTGTTATGTCCATGGTACTGCTCATGTCTATAGGCGACGGTTACCACTTTCCATCAAGTGGGGCGTCAGCTTGTTTGCCATTCTAAGTTGTATAAAAAAAAGAATTATATTACTTTTTGTTGTTAGATTTTTCTCAAAACATTAAACAAAAACAAAATATTTATTACTTTCTTTATATTCTGAATAGTTCTGGGTGAAGATTCATAATAGGCATAAATTAACCTTATTAACATATTGTACCGACTAATGCTTTTTTGCTAATTGCTGTTTCTAAAAATAGTTTTTTTTTAAATCGGTGTCAAATGCATACAATTCTTTCATATACCTATTTGTTTTTTAAAATTGTAAACAAGGGCATTTTATTTGTCTTAAATATAAGAATACACAATTGAATGTGTTTTTGGTGTTTTATTTTTTGTTTGGTGGATCAAATCTTTTTGTTTTCAACCGACTTTAGACTAAAGAAAGAGATTCTAAATTCGGTCGTATGTTTTTAATGTTTGTTATCTCACATACTCATAATACTTTTTTATCTGAAAGGATATTCTTACAGATTGGTCTCATATAAATTTTATCAAAATCGTTTCAGTAATTGAGCTTGAGAAATCAAAATAATTGATATTGCCATAGTTTAAGTAGATTTTTTTTTGTGGAACACAATCTTTTAATAATACTGATATACATAACACTATTTTACTTAGACGAGTAAGCAGGAGAGGACAGTACAATAGGGTAAAGGCAAGTACTGATTTCTAATCTATATTTATTCCAAATAAACGTATAAATAATAATAATTTAATTAAAGTGAAAGCTGTATGTGTACATAGTATAGCGTGACATTGTTAATTTACTAAAGTCGTATAGTAAATAGCTTATTCTGCTCCACTAATCAATCTGATTACTTATAAACCGTAACGTTAATACCT